TTTCTGACTTCTAATACGAGATTATTGATTGTGGATCCGAGTAAGATGAAATCATGGACAATGTCTGTCTTTGTCTCCATCTATCACGGTGTTGCCTGTTGGCCCAGTGGGGAGGAATTCTGGTTTCTTGATGTTATGATGTCATCACTTGAGCTGTAGGTCGTGAATACTCCCGAGCTCGGGCGGTGGCGGCGGTGGTACTTAGCACTGGATTCTGTCTCCAGCCTGACTTTGAAGGGTTGATAAACCCGTTGACATTGAGTGAATTCAATAGGGACCATCCAGGGGGGCTGAGTAGAACCGGCCCACAGGATTCCCAAGCTGGAATTTACAGAAGCAGATGGCCTCATCTTTCTCCTGCCTACTGCTGGTGAGTTTGAACCGCCAACCTTGCAGTTAATAGCTGCGTACTGTAACCATCGCACCTCCGGAGCAGTTCTGCATGTGCCTGCTGCTCCGATTGTCCAAAAGAACAGTCTGCACGGCTCACTCTAAACTAGAAATCATGGACTTCAAGGAGCCCTGGTGATGTAGCACGCTATGTGTCAAGTTGCTAACTGAAAGGTCAGGTTCAAATCCACCCGTAAAGGCCGACAGTCTCCTTGTTAATGATTTATAGCCTCCGAGACTGGGTAGAGGAATGCTGTCAGAGCCAACACGTGGTGTCTCATGGTCCTGAACTTGGAAGTCTTAAGTCAGGTATCAGCCTCGCCAGTGCAGCCTCAGCGCTGAGGGTCTGTGCTTCCTCCAGATGCCTCCTCGCCGCTTGCTGTGTCCTCAGCTCTGTCCTTCCCCTTCACTGACACCACTCAGGAGAGCTCAGGTCCCGGACCCCCGCCCTGCTCCAGTGTGACCACCCTGACCTGACTAGAAACAGGAGGACAGTGTTAGGACATCTTCTGGGGGACACTGTCCATTCAGTCCATCCTGTGATTATCTGGACAGGCCAGTCCTGGAGAAGGCATCATGCAGTGCTGGTGAAGGAGACAGTCAGTGGAAAAGAGGGTGGTCCCAGAAGATGGGTTGACCCCGTGGCTGCAACTGTGGGCTCAAAGACAGCAGTGGCCGTGAGGAAGGGGCAGGACCGGCAGTGTTATGTTGTCCACGGATGGCTGTGGGGCACAGCTGACTCAATAGCATCTCCTAACAAGGCTCGATCCATAACGGAGGCCCATCTCAGCGGATCCCTGGGATCCCCAAATCGAGTCCTAGCCCTGGGCCCAGCAGTCGAGGCTCCCCCGGCACTGGACCCACGGCCTCAGCCCACCCACCGCCTGGCCACACAGGGAGACCGCGGGAGATGATGGCCTTCAGCCTTGTTTCTTGTTTGAAGGTGGAGCCAGGACAGGCTGACCCCCGAGGCTGTATTGTGGTCGTGTTGTCGTGGGCCCTTTCATCTCCACGTGTGTCACCAGGTGCCGTCAAGAGTCCCCTCCTGTCTGCCGTTCGCACAGCAGAGCTGGCCTGGCATCCTTGGCGCTGCCTCTGAAGGCCCTCCAGACCTCATTAAGTCTCACTCCATCTGTCTGCACCCGGTGAACAAATCCTTCACTGCTCGGCCCTCTGCCCGCCTCACTCCTTGGCTCAGCTCTGGCATCCCTGGGCTTCCTACTCTTTCAGTACAAAGATTCTGGTTGGCAGATGTGGGCTTTCCACCGCACCCCATGCCCCGAGCCAGGCCCTTCTTTTTGTGCGCTTGGCCTGGATGATGGAGCCTCACAGTGACCTCGTGCAGGGTCACAGGGCGCGTCCGCATCGTGGTCCTCCTCCACTCCCACAGGGCTCAGTGGACAGGGGGACTTAGAGGCCTACCCAACAGCAGGGCTTCGACCAGTTCAAAACCATCCAGTAAGTGCCTTCATCGACGAGGTCTGAGTATGCACTGCACAGCAGCCAAATCTGTGGCCCGTGGTATTTTATCTAGAAAAGGAAATAAACCACTGTTCCCTGCTCAAGGCTGCCGCCAACCATACTGCTTTGAGAGAGAAAGAGTGAGTGAGTGAGTGGAAGAGAGAGAGTGTGTGTGTGTGTGTGTGTGTGTGTGTGTGCGCGCGCGCGCGCGCGTCCATCCGTCCATCCGGGTCCCCAGTGGTCCTGCCGCAACCCATCCTCCTAAAGCTGCAGGATCCTCGTATGAGCAGTTGCGTTACCAGCAGAACTCGGGAGAACATACTGCAAAGCTGCAGGGCTCTCTGCTCCCCCCTGAGGGCCTCACAGCTTTACAGCCAGGTTGCTGTGTTTTCCGAGGTCAGGATTAGTACATTCTCTGCCCGGGAGCCCTTGTAGCACAGAGGTTAGATATGCTCAGCTACTAACCAAATCGTGTTGTTGATTGCCTTCGAGTCGAGCACGGCTCACAGCAACCGTATGAACAAAAGGCCCGAAGCCCCTCTACAACTATCAACATTTATCAAAGTTCATAGAGTTTCCGGAGGCATGTTGTTTAGGAAGTGGATGCCACTCCTGCTTCCAAATTGTAAGCACTAGAATTAAGGGAGCTCACCCCCCCCCCGCCCCTCCCCCCCGTACCTTAGGGATAAGGAATTGCACTGCCAACCCAAAGGCATGGAGTTCGAATCCACCAGCCGCACTGTGGGAGTAAGTTGGGTAATCTCTCCTGCAATTCACTGCCTGTGAAAAATCCTCTGGGGGCATCAGCTGTGGATCAGCTCTGACTCAAGAGTACACACAACTATCCAAAAAATTGGTGATTCAGACCCACCGGCCACTGTGCTGGAAATGGATGGGCAGTCTCTGCATAAAAATTTACGGCTGTGGAAAGCTGTGGAGGGTCTCTGTGTGCTAGAACTGGCTGGACAGCACTGAGCTTGGTTTTGGTGGGTACCAAGGTGTGAAAGGAGCCAGGGAAACACAGGGACAACTGAGTCTGTTAATTCCTTAAGGGGGAACTGTCCCCACCAACAACATCAACCATGTAAAACTGGTATCTTTAAAGTCAGACATGCACCCACCCAACTTTGCTGCACCTACTCCTACTAACCCCTGACCCAGTATTTGTTGCAAATGACCAACAGACTTTACAGAATCTCTTCCTCTATTTCTGTGGAGTTTGTTAGGGAAATAGGTTGGATATGGTAGGTGCGAAGGTTATCACACAGTGAAAGTCCAGGTTTACTGACCTGTAGTCCCAAGCCAGATAACGGCAAGACACAATTCCTCGATTGGTTCACACAGCTTCTTAGCCAACAAGTGGAAGTTCAGCAGCACAAGGGCAAGAAGTCTCTGGTTTCCTCAGTCATCCAGCAAGCTTTGTTTCCCAGCAGTCACCAGTCAGCTCTTCTGTGATTTGGCCAACAAGCAAAACTTAACTCTGGCTCTGTCTCCAGTGTTCCATCAGGCTATAACTCACCTCAATCTCTCCACACTCTGGTCCCCTCTCCCTATTAGGTCGGCCCCACAGCTGTTAATAATGTGGAAGAGGCTGATGAGCAGTGAGCCATGTGTCTACCCTTAAGTCACCTGGAGACCATGCCCCAGGGGAAGCTAAGAGTGGCAGGTGGAACCTCAGAGATTCATTTCACTTGGACATTCCCACCTGGCCATGGGGTCAGGCCTAAGAGAATGGCTAGATAAGTGTAAAATCCTAGCACCACATATGCGGCTCTGCTGGCCTCTGCTGCCATTTCAAAGGTATGTTGTTCGAATCCACCAGCTTCTCTGCAGGAGAAAGATGGGCAGTCTCCTCCTGTTGATTTACTGCTTCTGAAAACCAGCTGGAGGGCCTGCTATGAGTCGGTTCCAACTCCGTGGCGTACAGCACCGCTGTTCAGGTTACTCTTGTGGTCCAGTGGTTAAATGCAGCAGCTAACCAAGTTGAATCCCTCTTTAGGAGAAAGATACAGCAGTCATATGACCTCGGAAAGACCTTGGGAACCATGTGGGTAGTTCTCTGTTCTTCAGGGTTGCTGTTGCTGCATATTGAAATTTACTTGATGGCCCATCAGCAAACAAATGGACAGAGAAGCTGTGTTATATTCACACAATGGAATACTATGCTGCATTGAAAAACAAGGAACTCATGCAATATTATTCAAAATGGGTGACTCTGGAGGACATTATGCTGAGTGAAATAGCTCAGTCACAAAAGGACAAATGCTACATAGTGCCACTGTTGTAAAATGGGACTTGCATCGGGGTTGGGGGGAGACAGAGAAAGATGGGATAAATTATGTATACTGCATTGAAACAGGTGAGGGAGAGAACTGTTTAAAAGGGATATATGATTAAGTATTATTGTCATGACAGGAGTCCAGAATGAAGGCTGAACAGTGGAGTGGACTTGAGGGGAGGGATTGTATAACAATGAAAGAATTTTTCTTTTACTTTTCAAAGAGAAGAACAAACTGGGGGTGGGGGACAGTGGTGGGCAGGGAGAAAAGTGCAACAATGAATGAATGGAAATCCGAATTCTCTATAAGTTTTCATTGTTGTTTTTGTTATATGCCATCAAGTCATTTGTGACTCATAGCGACCGTATGTACAACAGACCTAACCCCTGCTCTATCCTGTGCCAATCGCACTGTCTCTGACACTCCCATCCCAATTATCCCAGTCACTGAATCAGTCCACCTCATAGAGGGCCTTCCCCTCCTGCGCTGTCCCTCCACCCTCCCAAGCATGATGTCCCTCTCCAAGGACCGGTCTCTCCTTTCAGCATGACCAAAGTATGTCAGACGAAGCCTCAGAATCCTTGCCTCCAAGGAGCCGCCCGGTTTAACCCTCTCCAGGATGAACCTGTTTGTTTTCTTGGCAGTCCATGGTACATTCAATACTCTTCTCCAGCACCACAGCTCAAAGGCATCAATTCTCCTTCTATCCTTCCTAGTCATTGTCCATCTCTCGGATGCATAACAACACGCATGCTTTTAAAAGTGATACACCACTAGCCATTTGCTCTCTTGACATTGAGAGGAAAGTGCAGGGTCATTTCCCACCACCAGAGCAGAACCTCACACCAGTCTGCCCTCAACTCCTGACAGCGCCCCATCACTTCCATCTGCTGGGGCCACCGAGATTCGCGGCTGCTCATGGCCTCGGGGCCGTCCCTGTACGTGGTACGTGTGGAGCACCGGGTGTCCAGCCTGCAGCTTCTGTGCCAGCAGGCCATTGCCAGCGCCCTGCGGGAGGACAAGGACGTCAGCAAGCTGAGCCTGCCCCCTCGCCTGTGCTCCTACCTCTCCACAGCCTTCATCCCCACCATCAAGGTACTGACTGCCACGCGCCTGCCCCTGCCACCCACTGCCCCTTCCTGAGGTGTCCTTAGAAGGGCAGAGCTAAGAGGACAGTGGCCACACAGGGCAGCACTGAGGCCTGTCCACTCTGGGCCAGAGTAGCAGGTAGAGATACACTCTCTGCAGAGTTGGCGTCTGTCCCCAGGTCAACGTCCTCAGCATCATGGCATGTCCCTAGGGCATCGGCCTCATGTGCCCAGGGCCCTCTTCTCACGACCCTGGCAGCACTCTGAGCGGATTGTCTCTCAACCTCTGATGAGGAAGTAGCACTTATTGAGCGTTTGCTCTATACAGGGCATTGCACTCATAACTTTGCAAGACTCTGTCCTTGTTGAGTCTGACTCAGACTAGAGGCCGCCGTCACCGCAGTTCCCGGGGAAGGAAGCAGGGCAGTGCTTGGGGACGTGCAGCCCCTCGCCCCAGCTGCTCGACTGCTCAGATGTGGCCCCAGTGCCCTCTGAGAGCTTGCTGCGCTGCCTCAACTGTCACTTCAGTCTCTGCAGCTGCTGCTCAAGGCTGGGCCTGCCCTTCACCCCAGCCTGCCATCTCTTCCTGCCCTGTCTCTGCTTCTAAGTATTAAATCGATTTTTTGGTTACGGAAAAGTATCAACTTCTCTTAAAATTTCCTTTCCACACGCTTACTTCTTAGCCCTAGCTGCATGTTAGAACCACTTGGGGGCTTCTTCCAAGTGCGGGGGCCCAGATCCCACTCCTGGACTTCGTGTTGGGTGGGATCCTGGCTCAGGTCGGGCAGAGGTGTAGATGCGTCTTCAGTTCCTGTTAGCGCCTGGGTCGTGATGTCGTGTCACTGTGTTAAAGCTCCAGGAGACCTAAGCATGCACTGGGGTTTGGGAATCTCTGCCCGCCGTGTCCACTGGTATCCAGCTGACCCCTGGCCCTACCATGTGTCTGCCCTTCCCCCCGTCTGACCCCCACCCTGTGTCTGACCCAGGCCCCTGCCCTGTGCCTGGACCCTCCCCTGTGCCTGCCCCCATCCTGTACCTGGCGCCCGCCCCATGCCTGGCTCCCACCCCATGTTAGGCCCCCAGCTCATACCTGGCCCCTGGCCCTCACCTTCTGTCTGACTCCCACTCCATGTCTGACTCCCACCTCATGCCTCGTCCCCACCCTGTGCCTGGCCCCTGCTCCATTCCTGTCCCCTGGCACCCACCTTGTATCTGACTCCCACCCCATGCCTGGCCCTGTGTCTGACACCCCACCCCCATGTCTGATGCACGGTCTGCCCCATGCCTGGCCCCCACCCTGTGTCTGGCCCCTGCCCCATGCCTGTCCTCACACACTCTTGTTCTCTTGAATTTCAACAATTCCTCTTCTACCCCATCCTCCTGCCTGCAGCCCCCCATCCCAGACCCCAACAACATGCGGGATTTCGTCAGCTACCCCTCAGCCGGCAACGAGCGTCTGCACTGCACCATGAGACGCGCAGAGGACGACCCCGAGGTGGGCGGCCCCTGCTACATGCTCTACCTGGAGTACCTGGGCGGGCTGGTGCCCATCCTCAAGGGCCGGCGTGTCAGCAAGCTGCGGCCCGAGTTCGTCATCATGGACCCACGCACCGACGGCCGACCAGGTGGGCGTCCCTGAGGAGGCTCCGTGGTCAGGTGCCTCAGACGGTGCACGCGCACAGGCAATAGGCCGGGTGCACCGAGGCCTGGATTCCAGAGTGTCCTTGTGCGTGAATCTGGCCCGGGTCCTAGAGGAGTGCGTCCTTGTTCCCTTCTTTGCCGTGACTTCCCGAGGCCCCTGACAGAGCAGTGAGACACCCCCATTCCCAGCCAAGAGCACAGTGTCCAGCCTCTGCCTCCTCGGTGCCCCCAGCTGTCGGTGAAAGCCCCTTGTTTGTCCATACAGACTTGGAGATTTTAAACCACACGCCCGCCCGAAGCTCTCCCATTCCCATTGTCCCCGCTCTCATGCTCCCAGCCTTACGTCTGGGGGTGCTGGACCCTGAGCCTTGGCGGGGAGGACTTTGCTCTTTCTCAGGGACCACTTGGTTCTGGAGCATCGTCCACAGCCCAAGCCCTGTCTGGCCTGAGCACGGTGTCTCCGTTAAGTCCTCCACAGGAGGACCCACGCCTGTGCTCCCGGGGCCTGCCCGTCAGGCTGCTGGTGTCCAGCTGGGCACACGATGCTCACTGCAGCCAGAAGCGGCTCTGGCTGGTTCAGATGTGTTTTTCCTGGTTGCTGTGCCCTCACTCCTGCCCACTTGCCACCTGACAGTCTACTCACATGGTTCTCTGCCCTCAGAGTCCCACATCCGTGGTCACTGACCCTGCCATGCCCCCTTCCTCTGGACCATCCCACTTCGACTGTCTTGTCTGCTCTCACAGCCCACATCTGCCCATGCAGGGCTGTGCTCAGACCCTCACTGGCCTTTCTGCCTGCCCTCTTACAGCCCTGTCCCTGTCACTGGGGATGTGGCTATGCAGGGCACTCCCTGGCCCCTCTCGACTCCCCACACCTGACCCTCCAGCATCTCGTTTCCTCTGCAGCCTGCTCTGCTGACAGCGTTAGATGTGAGATTGTTAGTCATGAGACTGTGCTTGAAGCAAAGAGCTCCTGGTATTTCTGCCTTTTGAGGCAACAGTCTTAACCACAAGCAGAGATTGGGCTGAAAAATGAGACTGTTTTGGAAAGAAGGAAAGAGACAGCAGACATGGGGGAGAAGGGAGGAATTTCTCGGTCATGGCGGGCCCTGTGGACTCACACGGGCATGTGAATCTTGGCTTCATCTGGTCCAATGTCATCCTCCTCCCCCGACCCGGGCCCCGGAACCCTGCCCAGGGCGGTGAACCAAGCGCTGTGGGCAGGAAGCAGGGTGCCCCTGGGCCTGAGGCATTGTCCCGAGGTGGAGAGGTCACTGGTGATGTGTGGGCAGCCTCCACCACCAGTGGCTTCCACAGCACCCTCCCAGATGCCCCGCGGCAGCTTTAGACTCTCAGAGACCAGCTGGGCTTTGCAAACTGCCTTCACGTGAAAGTTGTTAGTTGCCATCGAGTCCACGGTGAATGACGCCTGGGAGGCACAGACCTGAGCCTCGCCCTATCCCGTGCCATCTCCACTACCTCTGACATGCTCGTCCCCGCTGTTAGGGTCGCCGTGTCGGCCGTCTGTTGAGGGTCTCTGTGTGAGGAGCCCTCGGCTGTGCCCCTCACTTGCCACCTGAGTGATGCCCTGTGTTGGCTTCCCGGCTTCGTTCATTCCTGGAGGAGCGTGTAGAGCCTCCCGGGCGTGCACTGCACGGAGCACACCGGGGTGATTGTGGGGAATGTGTTCCTGGGGAGGCCTGGGCTGAGGAAGATCGGGGTTCAGGTAGTGGTAGGACAAGCTTGGGGCGAGGCACAAAGGGAAAGGGGTATCAAGAAGGGTCACCGCTCTCTAGTTTTGAGGTTGCTCCCCCACACGTCTGGCCCCTATGCAGGGTACCTCCAAGGAGTCCAGGCATGCTTCTGCAGGGTGGTTGGCACAAGCCCCCTTCTAGCCAGGGCCCCAGCAGGCAGCCCCACCATGGTAGTTGTATAAGACAGTTAGTGCCAGACGTCCCCTACTGGGGACCCCAAAACAGGCCTGCTTTGAAGGGACACTTAGTGCCCTTAGGTCTGACTCCAGTGGGATCCCTTCACTTGGCCTACTGAGTCCTAATGGACTTAATAATGTCTGTGTGGTGATGTCCTATGTTGGAGTGCCTAGCCACTCGGAGTGCTAGACTGTATGTCCCCAGAGGCACTCAGATGCCACCTACTTTCTGACGACAGAAAGCCGCCTGATTTGCTTAGGAAACATACTAGCCTAGAGTCTAAGAGAAGCACACGCCCATGCCCTTGGCACTTCAGCCTTTAGACATGAGGTGTCGGCTGCGCGGTGTCCCGCCGTGAGTCCCCAGCGGTGGTCGCTGTCAGGGCTCCTCACCCTGCCCTTTGGTGTCCCGCCAGATGAGTCCTACGGGAACAGTGTGTTTCCCGCCGTGATCGACAGCTGCAACTGCTCCGACTCCAGCGACATCGAGCTGAGTGACGACTGGGCTTCCAGGAGGTCGCCCCGCATCGCCAGGACGAGCAAATCGCCCAAGCTCCCCAGGTAACCGCAGCTGTCCTGCAAACGCGGGCACCTCCCGACGTGAGTGTGTGACTTGCCTGCTGCAGAAACCCCCTCAGAAACTGACACCGGAACCGGACAGCCAGAGGACTGTTAGCACAGACGCAGCTCAGTCCTTCCACGTGCACGTCCTGTTATTGTTTGGTGTCGTCGAGTCAGCCCTGGCTTGTAGCGACGCGGTGTAGAGTAGAGCACGCTGCCCACTCCTGGCCTCCCTCGCATCCTCACACCCCGCTGACCCGTCCATCCCATCGAGGTCGCCCTCCTTTCACCGACTCCCCACCTCTTTAATCACGGTGTCCTTTTTCCAGGACCTGATAGCTTGTCCTCAAATATGTGAGGTGAATTTTTACCACCCTTACTTCTAAGGAGCATTCCGATTGCACCTTTTCCAAAGCAGATGTAATTATTCTCTTGGCAATGTGTGGTATAGTCAATATTTCTCACCAACAAAGGGATCACTCCTTCTGTTTTTTCTTATTCATTGTCCAACTTTCAAATGCTTATGAGGCAATTGAATATACAATGGTTTGGGTCAGCCTCACCTTAGTCTTTAAAGTGACATCCTTGCTCTTTAGCAAATTAACAAGTTTCTTAGCAGTGGGTTTGTCCAGTGTTATACATCTTTTGATTTCTTGACTGCTGCTTCTGTGGGTTTTGATTGAGGGTCCAAGTGAAATGAAATCATTGACAACTTCAATCTTTTCTTCTTTTCACATTTTGTCATTTATTGGTACAGTTGGGATAATTTTTTTCCTTGATGTTGTAGTGTAATCTGTGCTGAAGACTATGTAGCCTTTGGTCTTCAGTGTTTCAAGTCCTCTTTACTCTGCAAGCAGGATTGTGTCATCTGCAATACAGGTACTTGATGAACCTCCCCATGCAGACACACTCTCTTCTTCATATAGTCTGGCCACACAGATTATTTGCTCGGCATAAAGATTAAATAGATATAGAAAAAAGATTCAACCCTGATGGACACCTTTCCTGAGTTTGAACCACATCGTTTTCCTTTGTTCCTTTGTCCTTTTGCTTCTTGTTTATGTACAGCTTTCACTTGAGCAGAATTAAGTTCTCTGGAGTTCACATTCTTCACAATGTGAACTTATTGCCCTGTTCTCAGTGCAGAAACTTAAGGACCAGAGAGAAACCGTGAAATCAGAAGGCAGCAGAAAGTGACGCAATTTTTTTAAAAATGCAGTCATTTCAGTGTATTACAGAAAATAGGTGCTCACTCTATAAGCTTTCTCGTGGATTCCATCTCAAAACCCCTCTGCAGAACAGAGCAGAACTGCCCTATACAGGTTTCAAGGCCATAAATCTTGATGTAAGCCGACTGTCCCATCATTACCCCTCAGGGTAGCTAGTGACTTTGAGACACCAACCTTTCAGTTGGCTTCTGAGTGCTTCAGCACTGTACCACCAGGGTGCCTTGAATGCTAGATAAACCTGTTGACATCAAAACTGTTGTGTAAGGAATCATTTTCAAAATCACTGTAGCCTTAGTGTGAAAAATAACCACTGCCTCTGTAAAAAGGGTAAGGGCCACTTGGGAGTGCCGTAACTGACGTTAACCACCCTCACGGGGGGGCTGTCACTATCTACAGGATCAGTAACACAAAACCAGTCCCTGAGGTTGCAGACATGCCCCCACACTTCCATGTGTCTTTTTCTACTCAAAACCAATTTGACTGTTTTGCAGGGTCCAAAATCCAATGTGATAGCTCACAGACGACACAGAACCGTATTGGGGAAGTCAAAAGGTTATAATCCAGATTAATAACAGGATGAGGTCAAGACGGCTCCAGAGATGTCCACACGGGCACCTCAGCCCTCGTGGCATTGAATAGTCCCAAGTTCTCAGTCCTACCAGTATTGGCTCCTCCCCTCCACGTCTCATCTCACTTCATGTCTCTAGTTTGGCCATGGCTGCTGCTTCCTTCAAGAATGGCCTGCATTTTACCAGGGTGGGGAAGGTCTCTTTCCTCTTCAGGTTGAAGGAAGAATTCTATTTCAGCAACCAAAGCGGTTCAGTTTATTCGCGAGACAATGCAGTCTTCTTGCAGATTGTTAACACTGTCAGTCCTCTCGTGGGTAGGCAGTCCCTTTGTGAATAGATCAACAGGCCCTATTTGCATAGCCCTGCCCGCCCACATGATCAGTCATCCATATTCAAATAATCTTAGAACAACTATATTGAAAGATACACTTTATACTCTGCCATTTCCCCTGGAGAAAACCTACAGTCCCAGACTGGAAGCCAGGTGGGCACCTCCATGCTTGTCTGTCTGTTCTCCATGGGTCCCTCAGGACACAGAACCCCTGATGTGTTCTCAGCGTATCTGCAACGCTCGCTCCCGAGACAGTTCTCTCCTTAGGGAGACTTTCCCAGGATGTGGGCCCGGTGGAGACACACACAGCCGCGTGCTCAGCAGGGGAGGGTGGGCACTCTGAGCCCCCAACCCTGCAGATGCTCAGCACCTCCCCTGTCTCTGCAGGATCAACATCGAGGCCCGCAAGTCCCCCAAGCTGACCCGAGTGTCTCAGGAGGTCTCCCGGTCTCCCCGCCTGCCCACACGCAAGGCTTCCATCGGCTCGCCCAGCCTGGCGAGGAGGGAGTTTCCCTTCGAGGACATCAATCAGGTGGGCCAGGCTGTACCACCCGGGTTTTCATGTGTTCAGTGCCCCCTCTGCCTGCCTTTCCTTCCCTGGGGTTTGCTTGGTGAGCGTTGAACAGCCTGACCATCTGCCCCACACGCGGACCTGATGAATGTATCTGCTAGTGGAGGGGCCTCGGTCACTGGCGCCTCACTGCCATGGCTCCCCAGCATCTTGCTGACCCTGCTTTCCCTTCGGCCACTCACTGCACCACACACAGCCTCCTAGTTGAGAGAGGACCCTCTGAGCTCGCCTGCTGCCCTCCCTCACTCCACATGGACTGGCCGCCACTCACTCAACCCTGTCATGTCTCCATTGCCACCTGGCCAGTGGTCACCCACTCATGTCCCCACCATGTTTCTGCCTGTGGCCCTCATGCCCCAGTCCTCCATCCCCAGCCTGACCACACATGGTCCCAGGCATCTCATTTCCAGCCCCCAGGGAGCTCTTTCTAAATGTCTGTAGGTGATTAGAAAGACACCTACCTGGGTAGTTTCTGGAGACACAGGAAAGACAGAAGTTACAAACTTTTAACTACCAGCCAGCCCCTGTGGTCCAGAGACCAGAGGCATGAAGGAACGTGCGTAGAGCACATTGGTGCCTGTGCAGACTTGCCATATGTGAGGCCCACAGGGACGAACCTGTCAATGTGGGGACCACAGCTCAGGGAGATACCACTTCAAGCCAGTGCCAGCCATACCTCTTGTCTGAGGGGCAGGCAGAGGGAGAAGTTCAGGGACAGCTCGGCCCTGGTGTTAAGCGTAGTCAGGGTGGGGTGGGCCTCTCCAGCGGTGGCGCACTCATGGTACATTGTGTAGGTGGCTGGGCTCTGGTTCTCTGCACCTGTAGGAATTTACGTACGCGGTCAATTCAAGCATTCCCAACAAGTGACCAGTGGAAACTAACGTGTCACTTGTCCTTGTTTCTTCCTACAGCACAACTACCTTGCTCAGGTCACGTCTAACATCTGGGGAACCAAATTCAAGATCGTGGGCTTGGCACCTTTCCTGCCTACCAACCTCGGTGCAGGTAAAACCCGCTCCCATTTCTGCCCCGCCCTCCACTTTGAGCTCATCCAGAAAGTGTAGTGTCTGCCTCGCTCAGTGCAAAGGAGAGAACACACTTGTAGGACAGCAAGGGACCGGGCATCTTACACCAAATGACCAAGGTCATTTCACCAAAGCCAAGTTTCCACTCACATGACTTATTTGCGGTAGTACTTTGACTTCTTATTAATTTTTTTAGACAAAAAAAAAGAGTGATAGATAAAAGAGTAATAGAAATAGAAACGTCTCTGAAAGCTCTGGTAAACAAACATCTGGATATTTTACTTCTGGGCCTCTCCCTGGGGGCAGCTCTTGACCCCGTCTCTTCAGGTTCTTGAATCAAGGTCAAGAAGAAGGCATTGGAGGTTCTAAGGAGGAGCCACCTGGCTGTAAGGACAGTTGTTAGTGGGAAATGTTGAAGAATCTTATTTCTTTCATTTTTTTTTCTATATTTTATTAATTTTCATAAACATTTACAGAGATTTTGGGTTTCCATTCATTCATTGTTGCACTATTCTCTCTACCCTCCTCCCAGTTTGTTCTTATCCAAATGCCACAGTGCTTGTCAAAGCCAGTTCTGATTAATCTTCTTTGTCAGTGTGTCCTTTGCCATTCCCTATCACTCCTCCCTGAGAGAGACTTCACCCTGAGTCATAAGGAAAAGGGGACGGCGTATTCTCTTAGCTACTTCCTGCTGAAAAGGGACGCTGTGGGTTTCAGGGTGAAGATCTTCTCTCACTACTCTAAAGGGCCCCTTTGGCAGTAGGAAACACATAGACTATTATGGAGATTGATTTTGGAATTTAGATGCACTCTTATTGATTGTGCTTGGCCGTACATGTTCATATCCTTGAAGATGTATCATGGGGGTGTTGCAACCTAGAAGACACAAATTTGACTAAGAAGTTATAAGTACATGAGTCCAGAAATTATGGAAAAGTAAAAGAAAAGATTCTTTCATTGTTTTACAAACCCTCCCCCAGGTCCCCTCCACCATGTAGCCCTCGCTCTAGTCTCCTGTGATGACAGAAATACCTAGTTATATATCTCTTTTAAACAGTTTTCTCCCTCCTCTGTTTCAGTGCAGTATACATTATTGAACCCATCTTACTCAGTCTCTCCCCAACCCCAAGGACAGTCCCATTCTACAACAGTGGCATCATGTAATATTCGTCCTTTTGTGACTGGGATGTTTCACTCAGCATAATGTTCTCCAGAGTCAACCATTTTGAATAATATTGCATGAGTTCCTTGTTTTTTAATGCCGCATAGTATTCCATTGTGCGAATATACCACAGCTTCTCTAGCCATTCGTTTGTTGATGGGCACTTAGGTTGTTTCCAACTCCTTGCTATTGTGAACAAAGCTGCAATAAACATGGGTGTGCATATATCTGCTTGGATGTCAGCTATGGTCTCTTCAGGGTATATTCCCAGTAGTGGAATTGCTGGGTCAAATGGTATCTCTATTTGCAACTTTTTGAGAAAGCGCCATACTGCTTTCCACAGGGGTTGCACCATTTTACACTCCCACCAACAGTGAATCAGGGTTCCAGTTTCTCCACAACCTCGCCAGCATTTGTTGCTTGCTGTTCTGTTAAATTTTGCTATTTTGACTGGGGTGAAATGATATCTCATAGTTGTTTTAATTTGCATCTCTCTTAGGGCTAGGGATTTTGAGCATTTCTTCATGTGTTTGTTAGCCATCTGAATGTCGTCTTCGGTGAAATGCCTGTTCATATCCTGTGCCCATTTTTCTATTGGATTATTTACCTTTATCTTGTTGTGGTGCTCAAGTATTTCTAAAGGCCAATTCTGTCCTTGACAAGTTTGAGACAGAGGGGAAAGCTGAGCTGTGGGACTCAGAGCATCAAATTCTCAGTAGACATCAAGTTCTCTCGTCTGTCCTCCCATCTAAAGGAGTAGCAATGGCTTGCCAAGTTCACCTCAGAGACAGTGGCGAAGTGAACGTGACAGGAGATGCTTTTTAAAGCATCTGTGATGGGCCGGCCCATATCGGGGTAGGGAGAGTCCTGTACTCACCTCCTCATCTTCTGGGTGCAGGCCCACTGCCTCAGCGGGTGACCTTCTCCTGTGCTGACCACCTCCATCTTGAACGTGTCCTGGGTGATCTGTTAAACATGTGCTTTGAAACATCCTGTTTCTACCTAAAGTTGTTTCACATACAGTTGGAGGTGGTGGTGATGTTGGTGGCTCTACAGTTGCTTCACCTCATAGCACAGTGGGTCCGTGTAACATGGAATGGAAAGAAATTCTCCCCCTACTAGAAGGAATCCTTCCCCGACCAGATGTTTAAAACACCACACCACCATGTCAGGCAGGCCAGCCCTGCACCATCCTCACGACCAGTGCCGCGTTTGAACCCGTTTGTCCAGCCGCTGTGTCCACCCATCTCCTTGACGCTTCCTCTTTTTCGCTGCCTCTTAACCAAGCATGGTGACTGACAAATTCATGGCTTTAGTCTGTGATTTTTAAGCAAAGATTATTGCATCTATGCCATGGCCTGTGAGAGGAACCAGGAAGTCTGTCCTGGAAGAAGTTCAGCTCAAGTACCCTTCAAGGAGAGGATGGTGAGACGTCTCACTTCAGATATCAGGAGAGGCCAGTCTGGAGAAAGGGCACCGAGAGCCAGGCACACTCATTATCTGCCACCAGCTCGATCCCGACTCATCGCGGCCCCACTCAGGTTCCTGAGGGGTATTGATCTCTCATTTTTTTGTCGAGTTTTATCTTCCAGAACCACTGGAATGCTGGCCTTACAAAAGAAGTTAGGTGTTAGGATAAAAGAAGTCTTTTTTTCTCTTGTTCTGACACAGTATCTGTAGGATTCATTTTAGTTCTTCTTTTAATACTTGATGCAATTTATTAATGAGGATAAAAGACAATCATGGTGTAAGACCGGGACTGTAAAAATCTATGGGGGGAATCCATGCGGAGTGCTGTCATTGACTTGATGACACGTAACAACCACAAGGTCAGCTTTGGAGGCTTAGCAGGGATGGGTAAGGAAGGGAGGAGGGAGTAAAAAATTCTGAATAGATAAATTGGGTGAAGGATTAGACATTGTAATTAATTCATTATGCTCATCAGTGATAAAGTTATAAACCAAAATGCCTATGAGTCTGTATGGAAAACCAGTATGATTTGTAAAGCATAAACCAAGTCAGAATCTTAAGAATATATAAATATGACAGGAGCTCTGGTGGGCTAGTGGCAAGAAGCTGCACTGCAATCCCAAAGGTGCACAGTTCGAATCCACCAAAGTCTCCGCTGGAGAAGGAGGGGCAGTCTCCTCCTGTACCAGTTGGACCTGATTCAACAGTACACAAGAAGGAAAAAAAGAATATATGAATAGGTCAGGCCCCAGGTGATCACAGAAGACGCTGACTATCTAGCGTAGGTTGTGAACCATGAGGGTTTGTGGTTCCCCAGAGACAGCATGGCTGCGCAAGCCTGAGGGTGTGCTAGGTGCAGGTGGGTGTGGTGGGTGCAGGTGGGTGTGGTGGGTGCAGGTGGGTGTG